AAAAAAAATCAATGCTATGTAATATAAACCCTGCAAAAAGCTGACACAGGAGAATCCATGTTTAAATCTGTTATTTCTATACAGATAAATGGCTTCAGATGTAAATCATAAAATGATTAGCTGACTTCTTTTTTGTTCTATATTTTAAAAATAAAAACTACAGAAATAGAGCAGTTATGTTTGTATTTTAAAAGGTAAGCCTGAGGTAAGCTTATGAAATGATATGAAAGACATTTGTTTTTCTTTTTTTTTTGTGGTGAATGCATTATAAATTTTTATGTAAATTAATTTAGAATTTTATTTATCAAGCATAATCTCCTTCGAGGCTTGTATGTTCTTAATGACACTTAATTTTTGCTGAAACCACAGAGTTGAACTACTCAAAGTACCAACAATTAATATTTCACACTTTATGAAATTTTCTCATCTACTTAATGAATTAGAAAGGCAAAGCAGAGAGCAGGTATAAGTATTCTTGTTTTAAAGATGAGAAATTTGTATTTATAGAAAGAAAAATAGTCATGGTAGACATCAACAGTGTGGCTGGAGCTCCCTGAGGGCCTGCCTGCCTTCCTTCTTTCCTTCCTTCCTTCTAATCTCTCTCTCTCTCTCTCTCTCTCTCTCTCTCTCTCTCTCTCTCTCTTGCTCTCTCTCTCTATTTCTTCACAGTCAGAATATTTTTTTTTTACTTAAAGATCCACAACATGTAGCAAAGTTTCATTATACAGGTGTCAGAGACTACTTGTGAATAAAGACTTGTCATCTCAAATAAATACAGCCACTCCCACCTCCACCACTTGTTATAAACTACTCTTCTGAGCTAGTTCCTTGAGTGCATTAGCCCACTGCTTTTCAGAATAATACCTGGTCTGAAATGATACTTGCAGAGGAGCATCTAGGAAGGATACAAATGTATTTTTCCTGGTTTGATTTTGATTAGGTTTCTCTTTGGATAGGGGTGGAAACAAATGTTACATTTAAACATTTCCAGAGAAAATGGTCAGAAAAGTACTTGATATACAAAACCCAGGCACCAAGCTAACAAAATAAGAGGAAAAGCAATATAACATTTTTGGCAACTTTTCTACCCCTGTTCCAAATTAACCCAGGGAATCTTTCTATACCCCCCCCCACCTGCAGTGGGGATAGAGCTCAGGGCTTTTGGATTAACCTACATCAAAAGCACGTTGTTACTTTGTTTTTTATTTTCAGATAGGCTCTTGCTAAGTCCCTAAGTTGCCCAGGCTGGGCGGAAATGTGAAATGTTCAATGCTCCTATCTGAGCCTTCAGGGTTATACGTGTGTGTCACCACATCCTCCTGAATTCTTATGAAAGAAACAAAATGCTACAGGTATAACACAAGCTTCCTCCTATCGCATTCTCATCCCCCTGTTTCATAACATGATTAATATTCTGGAGTTGATGTGTATTTTTCCATTCAGATACTATGACATGTTACATAACTTGTTTTTCATGCATTTTTAAGAGTTATACAAATTGTGGCACAGTAGAGGTAAACTGCTTTCTTCCTGTTATGTCTATAATCCTGTGATTCAGTCTGGTTGATACACATAAGTCTAGTTTGTTCATTTTTGGAATACATTGTAATTATATTTTGCATTCCTGTTTTGATTGACATTCATATTTTTTCTATCTCTTTTTATTCCTGAAGGCAATTGTGGAGGTTTTCTTGTGTCATATCAGAGAGCTCCACTAGGGTTTATAATAATGGGCAGTATTTCAGGTTCATAGGATATAAACATCTGACACTTTTAAAGTATTGAGAAATTATTTCCTTCAACAACAGGATGACAGTTTTCATTTCCTATTCTCAGAGTTGAGTATTGTTCTTTCATTTCACAGAAGTTACAGTTTCATCAGTGTTTCAATTTGTAGGACTGAGATTGTGAAATTAATTTATTTTTTAGATTCAGGATTTTTCCTTATTGTATTGGTCATCTGGTGGTATGATTTAGATCTAAGTTGTACCCCCATCTGGGCATGGTGGTACATGCCTTGGATCCCAGAACTCAGGAGGATTGCCACAAATTCAAGGCCAGCCTGGGCTACATAGTGAGTTAAAAAACCAGTCTGAACTATATGGAGACCCTGTTCCAAACACAGCAACAACACCAAAAGTAAAAGTGTTCTCCTCCCAAAGTCTTATGTATTCAGAAGTGGGGTTTTCTGAAAGTATTTGGATTATGGGGCTGCTATTTGTGCAGAATGAGATGTTAGGACATGGCCCTATCTGGAAAACACAGGTCACTGGAGCATGACTTGGAAGGGCATTTTCTTGTTCTTGGTTCCTCCCTTCTTTCTGCTTCCTGGATGTGACAAAGTGAGCAGCTTTTCTCTGTCACCATCTTTCCCCGTGATTTTTCACTCTTAGAACCAGCTAACCAAGGACTGAACTCCCCGAAGACAGCCAAATTGAATTTCTTCTTCTTTAACTTGCACGTTGATATTTTGTCCCAGCAGCAGGCAATTGACTAGTGTATCTGTATTTTCTCATTTGTGAAATACTGGTCTCATTCTTTTTCCATCACTTTTCAAATAGAAATTTTCAAATTGTTTTTCATGTCAGTTTATGTTTTGGTAGGTATTGGATGCCAATCTTTTTGTTTGGGTTACAGGATAAGTATAAAATTATAAACAGCTCTGAGGAATATGGGTTATGTATAAGAAGATGACAAAATAAAGTAAGTCACTTTAATACTGCACTGTTGCTAGGTGTCTCCATGACACCTGCTTCTCAGTTCCAGAGATTTCAATAAATATGTCCCCAAACACTACATGACTAGATACAGTATGACCAGGTGACCACCTTTGAAAGTCCCATTCAAGAGACATTGTCATTTTGTTATGATACAGTATAACAACTAAGGTCTGCAAAAAAGTGTACTGTGTACTAATTTTGTAAGATCAATCTTGTGGCTGTAAACTTGCACTATACCATTATTTTGTGTTTTTAGAAAACTGAAGTTTGGCTCCTTTTTTTCTGATTAGCAGTACCGGCTCTCACTACGCTTTTGTACCACAGTCTGATTCCAACCTGTTGCTAGACTGTAGTTTCCTTATTGGTTCAGAAATGTAAAATGTTAAGATAGTCATATTAATCACTAATATCTTTTATTTTTTTACTCTTTGAGTCTTACTTAGGGAAATGTTTTCTTCTGTAATATCCTAATTATATTACCCAAAATTTTCTCCTCAAAATTTTAAATACTTAATTTTCATATTTATATCATCAGTCTAAACATGCTTTTATAGGTATTATGGAGAGATGAGTTTAGGTTCATTTTTTCCCACCAGCATTGGTAGTTTTTCTCTTATAGAATTTATTGACTGGTTCAACTATTCCAAACATTTGTAATGACAGCTCTATTATTTTGTAAATTTTCCATATAAATGCATGCACATTTTATTGTTTTCTGTCATATTTCATTGGTCTATTTGGATGTCGTGCACTAATATCAGGTTGTTTTTAGTACTGCAGCTATACAAGTTCTGGAATGTAGTGGGGTACACTGGTAGCTTTCCTTTAGTGCAGGCTCTCCCTACCCATTATTCTCTTCCTTACTCTCAATTCTTTTCGCCATAGCACTTATCATCTGTCATAGTATATATTATTTATTTATTTGTTCAGTGCCTGACACTCCTAGGAAAATATGAATTCAGTTGGAGTAGAATTTTATTTTATTCACTGTCCTGCCCTAAGTAACTAGAGGATTTCTTTAATGATTTAATTTGAGAGAATTCATGTGTAGAGATGGATAAATGAAGGTATAATGCATATGAGTCATTAGCTCATGTTTTTTTTATTTTTTCTAATTTTGATAGTGAATTTATTCTGGTTTCATGATACGAGTTGGGTAGCTTTCAAACATTTTGTAGAGATGTGTATTTCTTGGGATATGTCAAAATCTGCTGGTTTCTTGGATAACTCTTGACAAGCGATTTGATTTACTTAATGCTACAATCTTACTTAAGTTTCTAAAACTCTTCCTAAGCTATTTTTTGGTAATTTTTATTTTCTTATAAAACTGTCCTTGATGCCCACATTTTTAGATTAATTCATGTGTTATTTGATTATTTAACACATGAGAAAAAATGACCACAAGTTTAGGGATTTAAAACAATAGAAACATAGAGTTCTGGAGGTCTGAAGTCCCCTCAAAAAGGAGCCAGTGCTTTTCCTTCCCTGCTCCTGCCACAGAGATGGCTCACTTTATCCTCTGCCCCTATCCATAAGGAACCCTATGATTCTAACGTGCCCGCCTGAATAACCCATGATCTTCTTTCTGTCTCAAGATCATCTGCAAAATCTCATATTCACAAGGTTTAGATTAGGATTCGAACACTTTTTGGAAGGCCAGATTTGACACATTTTGCATCTTTATATTTTCTCTCTTACATGTAGATGCGTTTTATTTATTTATTTCATTTTTACGTTTATTTCTTCCTTGATCATTTTCTGGTAGTCAATTTGTTTGACGTTTGTTTATCAGCTACATCCTGACAGCTATGACAGACTGATGAATGTAGACTAAAGGTTGGAAAGACGTGGCCTGCTGGGGGTGCTGTCCAAGTAAATTTCCCCTCCTGTCATGCTCCCGACGGCGGTGCTCTGGGTGGTTGGAAGTAACCCCGTAGGATGCGTTCCAAGTCAGTGATAAAGATAATAGTACACTCTGGCTCTGCTTACCCTGCACCGCATGCTCTTTCTTCAGGAGTGAATCCTCTCAGCTCAGCCCTGGGGATTATCTGAAGAGCTCAGCTCCTCACCATACTACTCCGGAGGCCTGGGCATGCGCACCGTGCTCCCTGGTTCCCTGAGGACTCCCGGGTCTCACCTTTCCCTGCCTCTGCCGGCCTCTTCCTTCCCTCCCTCCTCCCTTCTCCCCTCCCTCAGCCCCGCCCCCTCACCCCGCCCCGGGACCTGCGAGGCTGGTTCCTGCCTCTGGGCAATTAACCTGGCCACTTCATCCCTGGCCCAGCCCGGGAGGCTCTGCGCCTCCATTCCGTTCCCTCGCCACTCCAAAGGGCTTGAATGAAATGCGCGTGGGTTCAGTGAGTGGTAAACCACCAGGGGATCCCGTCTCCCCACAAACCAGGATCTCGCTCTGGAGAAGGAGAAGGGGGAGGAGGCAAACAGCTGAGCTTCGGTCTCGCGGGCGCGCGCAGCGCTGGAGCCGCGGGAGACGCCGGGCCACCTCCCCCTTCCCGGCCGTGCACCGCCTCGCCCGCGGCGGCTCCAGGCACCACACGCTCCGCCCGGGCTGCGCCCGCGGTGCAAGTGACGAGCTCCTGTGGCCGGCGGTGCTGTCCGCCGAGGAGCAGCGCCCTCTTGCCTCGCTGCCTGCGGCGATTCGCTTCTCCGCAGGAGCAATTGACCCTGCAGTCTGTGCCTCCCTTTCGTCGTCTTTGAGCTGGTGGACAAGCAACTTTGACAGTGGTCGTAGGTTTAGAATCCGGTTTCTTGGCATCAGTAGCTTTTAAAGTCACTGGTCTTAGGTGGGACGGGACTTTCCCCGGCGCGTCAACCCTGAGTCTGACTGCAACCTGTTTCCAGCGATCAGGGGATGGAATTGTGACTGACACTCATCTGCGGGAGGGGACTGGTTTTTCTCTCTTTCTGGAGTCTCAGCTTGGAACTGGATAAAGCACAATCGAGAGGCTGTAAATAGGCAGAGCAACTGTTTCCAAGAAGGCAACCACTTCCAAAGCCAGGAAGGAGCGTGGGGCTTTGTCCGGATTTCATCCAGTCGCAACATTAATCAACAATCAGGTGTTGTTTGCAACTTTTCAAGGTCAGCCACCCGAAGCAGCAGTTCCGTCGCCGACCCTGTGGGTACACAGAGCTTGGATTGGATTTGGCTGAGAAATGCACAGGACGCCAAAAGAGGAAGGCTTGTAGGGTGGGTGTGACCCCAAGACCCATCCCTCGCTCTCCCCCATCCCGGGTCTCCTGCTGCCCAGGCATGGGAGAGTGGGTGACATGCGTCTAACTCCGCAGCAAGTTAGGCAGCAGGTGTAGGTTCTAAAAGACAGCAGAGGCTGCTGGGTGCGCCCTCGCCAAGCCATGAGGGACCGGGGCGCGCTCCTGGCTCGCACGTCGCGGGTGCTGCTTCTGCTGTTGCTCAAGATCTCCGTCTCTTCCGCCCTCTGGTTTGCTCCTGCTCCCAGAAACCTAACTTGTCTGGGGGAGAGCTGTTCACCTGCACTGCTCCAGCGTCGCAACAGGGATGCCTGGGGACCAGGAAATTCTGCAAGAGAGGTTCTTCGAGTCCGTGAGCCCCGGGCGCAGGCAGAGGCGGCGGTGCGCGCAGCGCCCTCCCGGGACCTGGCGGCGGCCGCGGGCGGTGACCCCGGTGCTGGTGCAGGTGCAGGGGCGGAGGCGTCGGCAGCCGGGCCCGCGGGACCTCCACCTGGCGCCGGTAGGTGGAGAGGTGCCCGGGGTCAGGAGCACCCTGGAGAGTTGGGGAGAGGGAACCCCACGGCCCTCCAACTCCTCCTTCAGACCTCAGAGGAGGAAGAGAGAAGTTCCAGAGGCGCTAGCATTTCCTGGCGCAGTCAGGAGCAGAACGTGAAGACGGAACCTGGAGCCAGCGATCTTTACTACTGGCCGAGAAGAGCCGGGAAACTCCGGAGCTCGCGCCACAAGTCAGGACCCACAGGGCACGAAGGACGGACACTTGCACCCCCTGGCAGGGCGCTACCCCAGAATGGGTCCTTGATTGAAGATGTCCCCGAACGCGAGGGTCCACGCCGCGGGAACAGCACCAACCGGCGCGTGAGACTGAAGAACCCCTTCTACCCGCTGACCCCGGCGTCCTATGGAGCCTATGCCGTCATGTGTTTATCCGTAGTGATCTTTGGAACCGGCATCATTGGCAACCTGGCGGTGATGTGCATCGTGTGTCACAACTACTACATGCGGAGCATCTCCAACTCCCTGTTGGCCAACCTGGCCTTCTGGGACTTTCTCATTATCTTCTTCTGCCTTCCACTTGTCATCTTCCATGAGCTGACCAAGAAGTGGCTGTTGGAAGACTTTTCCTGCAAGATCGTGCCCTATATCGAGGTAACTCCTTCTAGGGGGTCTCGGGCTTTTGGTTATATTCATTTCCAGGATTATGGCATTAAATAACTTCCGCTGAACCACCTACCTGGCTGAGCCTCTTGGCTTTTTCTTTGGGTCCCTCCTTCATTTATCTTTCTAATCTTCTGTGCATGTGTATATCCACATGAAAAAGAGGCAGCCTTGCTAAATCACTTTCAAATTCACCTGCTGCTGGAATGTGAAAAAAATCCACGATGTACGCAATTGTTTGGATGATAGATTTATTTTTCTGAATATGGTGTTGTGTATATTTCTTGATTTAGTACCCAACAAAGATTCCAGGATTAAATAATGACGAGTCCATGATTGCCCATATCAGATCCTAACCCCCCCAAAAGCACTTATATACTAGATTACTTATGCTTCACTATGATCTATCCCTTCTCTAGGAAAATTATTGCATCTTTTCTTTAATTCTAAAGTTTGAGTAGCTATTAAAAAGAGAAGAAGAAGAAAATCTTTGTCTGTTGGCCTTCTAATACATTAATAACCTCTCAAATTAGTTTAAGTGTTTGGCTGACTTCCATGTTATTTCACCTAAACTCTTAGATCGTTTCTTATTTTTTTTTTCTTTGCAATTTCTTAACAATTTTATTACTTTCGTATGAATAAATGTAAGCAAAAGGTAAGAGTTGAGGCAGCATGGCAAGAAATCTGTTTAACTTTTTCCAAGTCTGCTGTATACATTTGTTATTTATTGTGTGTACATCAGGTTGACTATTAAAGGGGTTTACTCCAAGGCTAGTAAACTCTTTAAGATGAAGGAGGCATGTAATAGGTTCCATATTTTGGGAATGAAAATTGTTTTGACTAAGATTTTGCTGCTTTTTCTTACAGCTAGTGTTCTGAACAGTTATTGTGATAGTTGGAATTTGCTCTTTAAACGGCCTCTCTTTAAACACCAGCTCTTGGAAGAGGCCCAAGTGTCTTTCTGCCAGTTGTGTTTTTAGCCAGCTGGCCCTTGATTTTCTTCATTCAGACTGTCCATTTCTTTTATGGGAGCAGAAGAAGGGAAACTGTAAATATTCCAGAGTCCCTGATCCTGCCTGGCACCAGGGCCAGTGACACTGTGTTCAACATTGTTCCAAGGCCTAGAGCTAGAGGATAAGTAAACAGAAAACAGTACTTACTTAGAAGGACCAAAGCAAGACTGTAAATAAGACCCTCTGTTATCCTGACAGGAATCAGATGTAGAATCATTTCATGGCTACTAAATCAGCTGTTGCTACTTTACCAGGACCCATGATGCCCTGGTTGCCAAGGTTGAAGTATCTCTGACACATCTACATTTGTTTGAAAGATAGTTCATTTCTGAACTCAGGAGGAGGTGCTGGAATTTACATTAGATAATACATGTCTATCTGCTAATTGCCTTCTCGAGGTTAGTTTCCATTTAGGATTTCTCTGATTGTTCATTTGAATAACACAGGAAAAAATGGACTTATGCAGAAAGGGCTTTAAAAATGAACGCCAAAGTGAACAGAGGAGGTTTTCCAACAAGAAAGAAGTGTATTAGCTTGTCTCACTGGAAAAGTATTGATATTGTACATGTAGACATTTATATGTTAGCTGGAAAAACAATAGAGATTGGACAGAAGAAAGAAACTGGGGAGAGAATAAAAAGAAGTGTCAAAGTTCTTCAAAGAAACTTTCAGTTAAAATGCCAACCAATTCAGGAAAGAATATAAACGTTTAAGTTAGCTTTATGAGATCTAAATGTATCAATTAAGCATTTAGTATGATTTAATTTTATTTCTCTCTGAGAGTTTTAAAAAAATATTTTGGTACTTTTTCCTATTTGTATTTAACTTAATTTTTGATTCTTAAGAATATTTTGTTTTTATCATTTTTATTGTTAGTAAAATCTGTTTATAGTTTTACTTAGTTACCCCCATATTTATAGTGCTCTCTGGTTTTAAGCTTTGTTTTTCCTAGATAAGTAAAGAGTTAAAAATTTCAATTTTTTTGTAAAGTTATAGTATGTATCAAAAGTCATATATACTTTTTTGCTGTTAGAGGAGTGAATGACAGTCCTAACATGTATTTCTATGTCCCTATGTAAATTATTCCTTGCAAATAATTTTATAATACTTAGAATTTTTACAAATATAATTATTGGAAAATAGTATCAGATTCATAATTCCTCATAGCCAAGAACAACAGTCTAGGTTTCAAAATAAAGAATTTCTAGCTCCCAGATGCACTGCTATTTTCACAGAAATAACAGAAATTGAGTGCCTGTCCCATGTCAGATTCCTGAAGAAACAGATCCCAGAATGGAGATTTATTGGGCATGCTTTGCAGCTCACCACCTGTCAGGGAATCCCTAAGGAATTTCCAAAGGAAACAGGGTGGGACTGAGGAAGAAATTAAATTGTGCTGCGGTTGCTACAGAGAACTCAGTTGACACCATAGGAACTGCAGGGCTGAGGGACCATGTACAGATGTCCTTAACTGAGCTAAGAGGCCTCAGCTTTTGTGTTTCTCACTGAACTACTCACTGGATACAATTTCCTCCCAGGAATGGGATATAATCTTGAAGTAGGTGGATCTCTTTGATCAAGGTCAGTTCCTAGAGTGGGATGTTTTAAAGAACTGTATCCACTGCACAGCTAAAGTAAGAAACAATGCCTCATTCCTAAAGAACTTTGGGAAGGAACAGTCTGGGTGGAGAGCCATAGTATCTGTTTCTGTGGGTTTTCAGTTACTATATTAAATTAGAAGCATATGACATTCTAATGGATCCCACTCATTTTACTAATGAAACTCAGGGCTTGAAGCAGGGAAATAACCATCCTAAGCCAATATACTTATCAAGTGGCAGGCAGACACTTAACCTAAATGCTTCATGTTGATATTTTTTCCTATTAGACTAATACCTATGAGACAAAAGTTGGATCCAGTGAGTGTTTTTTGTTTTCCTTTCTGCTCCTTAACATCTTTTAAAAATGTTTCTATCTCTACTACAAAGAAAATAACATTTTTATTATTCTATTAGTGTTGAACCTATTCAGTAGGCACTGAACCTGAAAGTCCAGTTGATATTATTTGCTACATGACAAAATTTGTGACCTTTTCTGTTCTTAAGTGTCATCTTATTTCTCATAAACATACTAAGTTCAACAGATGGTAGCTGTCTAATTTTTAAAATTGCAATAATATGAGACAACTATACATTTTAATACATCAAACATAATTATTTTAATCACTGAATAAATTATATAGTTGTATATTGTGTTCTTAAAATCACATAGTATGTTAGATTATTAAGCTGGTTACAAATGTTATGCTTGTTGGAATGATCTAAATTTTCACCTCTAATACTTTTCTCCTTGACCTCAAATCTCTAAAAACCATTTGGTATATAGACTTTTTCGTATTTCTAGATGTTTCATTTTCTTCACTTCCTATTTATTTCACATATTAACTCTTCCTTTTAAAAATTTAACCATACTCTTACTGATTTATAATGTAGGCTTTATCATTTTCCAGGAATGTAGTTCGTGTTTTTCAAAATAATTTTACTGTTAAACTTTTCTTTATTTCAAATGTTATCTTCAAGTTTCCTTGTTACCCATTTTCTCTCCTCTCTTTTGTTTTCCTCCTCTTTTTCTTTCTATTGCTTTTTTCTTCTTTTCAGCTTGGATATTATCATGATCTGAGAAGAATTGGGTTTGTACTGAAAACTAAGAGGTTTTTTTTATTACAAATTACAGACTCAGCAGTTTCTGTTCATTTATTTTATTGACTTCATCTTACTGTCCTAAGGCATGAAGACAACACCTAACTTCCAGTGTCTATCAAAGATTTTAATGATTTGATTGGCAGTGTTCTGAGAACTGTTGTAATAGATGACTCCTCCTTTTCTCTTCTAGAATTATGATATTTTTGTGACAAGTCTCATAAAGACCAAGACCAAGGGCAAATATAGTAGGAGGAAAAGTGGGGATGTGAGAGGAAAGATTGAGATGGATGAAGGCCATCATCAAGGATACAGCATTTCACAATAGCTCATCATAAAAGTGGAAGAAGTGTGACACAATGGAATGTGATGTGAGTGTCCGTGTGTCTGTAGTAGACATGGAGGCCTGAGCGTGTATTGCAGAAGGCAAATGGTAGAGGAGTTCCCTAATGCGTCGTTTACTTTAGTTTCTAACAGATGTTTAAACCTAGCAGTTCAAGCATTGACTATGCCAACTGGAATAGCTCATTGCTTATTACTTGATGGATGGGAGCCATTCAGAGTCAGTATATCACATGATTCAGATCCACTTCCAAGTATTTTCTCTCATACTTGGAATGTTAATTGGGGGTTCTGAATGATCTAGGTGACTCTTTAGTTTAAAGAATTTATACCTGTATAGTAGGACAAAGCCTTCAACTAGAGCTAAGACAATCACAGGTCTATCTGTATTTTTGTTTCATTGGGATGATTCCTATTTGAGAATGCAGGACACATCAAGGGAATGCATCTCACCAGGCCTCTGTTCCAGGGATAGGATGTGACAAATCTAGAAAACGGTGGCAAAAGCCAACTTCTCCAATGGCTTTAGAAATACTGATTTTAGAAATACTGGTTTTAAACTAGTGAAACAAATGCTTCTTTCATTGCTCTAGGTTGCAATAGCACTGAATCAGAAAGGACGATATTGGAGGCTGAAAATATCATGATATATGTATGAGATCTTATACAGATTTCCCTAGAATCTCCATATTCAAGTAATAGCACATTTATCACAGAAGAGGTTAAACTTACTTGAACAGTAGATTAGCCATTAGATATTCTGGTGGGCTTTTGATTGGAAACATGCAGACTTAGAAGTAATTTGGAAGCTACTGATAACATTCTCCAGGAAAATGGACCAAGTATATGAGAATGGTGCTTCACAAATGTTTTATGACTTCTCATTAATTCCTTTGTAATCATTTTCTACATTTCATGGAAGTCCAAATATTTATCT